CCCCCCCACCCCTCATATGTGTTAGGATTAGTACTAAATTCCCCCGGTTGTGTTTTAGTAATGCTTGTGATTCTTTTGTGCTTTGTGACTGAAAATTCATCATAACTGGTGCCTAATCTGCAGCTTTGATTTGGGTTCTTACTGTAATCATATTTTAAACATGCACTGGCCCTGGTTGAAGGGTTCTTAAAAAGTTGTTTTTTCACTACAGATCTGGATTTTAAAGTTGAAAACAAATTGTTGAAAGCTGCTGAAATGGCACTCTGTCTAATTAGTTCTTCTTTTCCTCAACCTTATCTGCCCGCAAAGGAGAGGACACGTCCCAATTCAGTCATGCAACTGGCTGAAAGCCTGAAAGATCCCAAGCTGAGCCTTGAGCTTCCACTCTTCTGTTGCTTGGGGATTACCTGTATGCTTTTTGTTTCTATTTTGGTCCAGGTAGAATTTGAAAGGAAAGTGACCCTAGGAGAAGTGATAAGTGTATTGCCCAAATGGGGACAAGGGAGGCCAAGTCACTGGATTTGTAGAATCTGCACTGCCACTGGCAACTCGCTTATCCTCCTGTGCCTCAATTCCCATATTTGGGAAGTGGAGCTAACATCCCACTTTGCAAACATAAATGAAATCTCATGCCTTTGCCTCAAGGCACTTTGAATTTTTTTGGTGTCTATCTGTGACGACGGTGACAATAATTCCTTTCGTTAAGCCTTTTGGGTGTTGCAGTTGTAGGCAATCTGTCTGGAGCAACAAGGTGCTCTGTCGCTCTGATGAGTGAGAGTGTACTCAGGAATACAATGTAGAGGAAAATCTTGATAGGTTTATCACAGTTAATTGTTAAGTGAACCTTGTATTAAAGACCTTTATGCAAAATACATTTCTACTTTGATTTCTATCATTAAAGGAGCCTGTCTTCTGTCTACAGAGAAGAAAAATCTTAATGACTTCAGTAGAGAAACAACCCAGAAAGCTGACTATTTGAGTCCCCCTTTGTTTCTCTAAAATGTAGATTTTGCTTACAGCTTGTAAAACTGCCAAGGACTAAAGTTCTGTGAAAAGCAGATCTTTATAGTACCCCAGAACCTTGATACCTGATGAATATTTTAATTAGATTCTTCCCAGCTGTGAAGGCCTATGTGAGTGGCCCATTCTTGACTGATGATTCTATAAGTGTAAAATCGAGATCTGTCATGCAAAGCAGCTTTCTTACACCAAGGCAGCCTTGTCCCTGCAAGTGGTGGTTGCCATTTGTCTGCCACTGCACTTTCTTCCCTCTTTGTTTCTTGTGAAGCAGTGGCTGTTGGCTGGAGTATTGGCTCTGAAAACTGAGAATGAGGAAATGTTTATGCTCTCTCACAGATTATTTATTTATATATTTATTTCCTGAATGATCCCCAGCCAGTCACTTTCTCTTTATAAACTGGCCATTCATCTCTGAAGTCAAGGCTATAGGCTGGCTACCTCTCTGGAACCTGTGCATGGAAGCATCTGAGTTGCTCAGCCTTTCCAGCAGTGTGGACAAAAAGAAACAAGAGGTCTGGTTTCTCTCTCCGACATGGTCTTGCAAACCTGGGCAAGACCTTGGGCACACCTGTCCAAGAACCTTCATTTTGCTGCTGCAGTTGGTTTTTTTTTCACCCTGAAAGAAAGGGGAAATATATTTTCCTGGTTTCACAGGAGTGTTACAAGGAAACCTTTATCAGTGCTAGTGAGCCATGGTGTAACAGTATAGTGGCATGGCAGGAACTGCACCTGCCTCCGCTTGTTTCTACATTCTGTAAGCTCAAGGAGCTGCGTGGACTGCGTATGTACCAAAATCTCAGGTTTTCTCTTTAGTACTTTGAAGATTTTTTTGAAGTAGTATACACTGTTTTATATGTGGAAGGTTTTTCTACATAAACCTTAATGTGAAAATATGGTGGGGGATACTTCAGGGACAGCTTTTTTCATTTTCATTTGTAAATACAATTTTTGAAATCCCTCCAACTATCCATCTTATTTACTCAGAGCTTCCACTGACCTTTTAATGTGGTAGGAAGCTCACCAATCCTATGCCACAGGTATTAGCAGACTGTGTACAACTTAGGTCTTAAGCATGCTAGAACCTAGATACCAGATGTGTTTTATTCTCATCTAGTAAATTTATGCAGTGCTAAAAAATCCTGCAATTTAAAAACTAGTTAATAAAAGGATTTAATGACCAGGAGTCAAATCCTGCTGTTGTCATTCATTACAGGGTATTCTTCTATGATTAATTCAGCTCTGAATAAATGTCCAGAAATGTGTAGTTTCTCACTAATTGTCCTAGAGGACAGGCATTTACATTCTATAAAAATGGTGATTCTGTGAAATTCACTCACACAGAGTACTGTGCTTGGCTGGCATAGTCTTTCAAATGGCCTGATCTTGTAAACACAGGCAAATTTAAAATACACATTCAGTGGAAAATCAGTGGTTCTTGTTCTCCAAAGTTTAATGTTTTGTTTTACAATGTCATTCAGTCTGCGAGGATGCATTCTGGAGAGAATAGGCAAGCAGTATGACGAGCAATAACATATTTGTGAGTTATAAACTTAGAAGCAGTAGGTTATTTTGCACTAATATGTTTTTCCCATAGAAGACATGAACTTTTATGCTGTTTTATTGGGAATATTTATTATCATCCTGCATTGTTTCTAGCTTAAAGTAGGACCCCCGCTCTGGTGACCACTGTATAAAACCAGCAAAATAGGCAGCCTGTACCCTGAATTGATTACTGTTTAAGCATCAGTATTGCCAGTGGAACTTAATTAAAAATACAAATCTTGATCTTGAAGCAACTGGGTGTTTTGCAGTTGATCTAAGAAAAGCAAGGGCTTCAGTAATTACCTTTTTTTGGTAGAGATTCTTTTCAACAGCTGCATGGAATTTAGTTGTTTGAAATCATCAACATATCACTTTAGATAGAACATAGAGTATGTGAACTCAGCTCTGCTGTCTGCTTCCTCTCACAGCATTGCACAAACACTGTTTTTTTGGTTTGAAAATAAGTGGTATATTGGCATAAATACCTTCTAGTTGTAAATTCTGCATTTTAAAATTGAATACTGTCTTTTGTGTGTTTCTTCAGGGCTAGCTGGAAAGATTATAAAAGCCATCATCAATGAAGGATTTCAGATCTCAGCTTTGCAGATGGTAGGTTTCCTTTAGTGTATGTTTTTCTGATAAACAGAAGTTGGAGAAGTGCTGTGTACACCTCGCAGCAATGCACAGGTATTTTCCTGCAATACAAAACCCTTGTGCAGCCTGTGTCGCAATGTTTTGGGATCAGCACTGTCCTTGTGATATTTGTGTTTTACTATTTGATTGATCAGCTGATCTGTTTCTCATTGCTGGGTGACCTTGAGCCAAGACACTTTACTTCTGTATATCTCAGTTTCCCTATAGTTAGGAGGGGGATAATGATATCTGTCTCTTCTGGAGCAATTTGAGCTATCTTCACAAAATGTACTAGCTAAGATTAGAGAAATGATTGTTAATATCATTCTTCAATTTTTTCTAATATATATTTAGTATGAATTTAGGAGAAGGTTTTTAAAGATACTTAAAGGATTTTGACACTGATCACTGTCAGCAGTTAAAGGAAGTTGGCACAGGGATTGTTCCCAAGAGTAGTTCTGTAAGTCCTGTCCTTTGATTCTTGCGAAAGTCTCAAGATCTGAAATCCCTCTATGACTCAAATCCTCACTACAAATGAAGAATAGCCCCTTTCCTTTACTATGCAACAAACAGATTCTCTTGCATGTCTTTGAGGCATCAGCCAACGCTATGTTCCCATATATGCCTGTGGCGTCATTGCCTAAGTTGTTGACAAACTTCATATTGCAGCTGTAAAGCCATTCCTTTTACCTAGTAAAACTTAAAAGGGTATTCTGTATGTTTGCTGGTTAAGAAGGGGTTTCTGTCTATTTTTTTGTTGTTGTTGTTCTTGTTGTTTAAGGCAGACTGGCTAACATTTTTGTTTTCTTAGTTCAACATGGAGCGTGCAAATGTGGAAGAATTTTATGAGATTTACAAAGGTGTCGTTGCTGAATACATGGTAAGCATAAGAGTCTCCTCTGATAACACCATTTTTGACAAGGGCCAAAGGAAAATCGGACAGGCAGACTTGCAGATACGTGGCAGAATTCAAATATGGTAATATCTGACCAGTATTTCAGGGCCTGAAGAATCCTGTGCTACTGCAAAAGTCTCTTTGAACCAAACTGGAAATTCTCTACCATCTTCTGCAGCTCTTTTGTACAGTTTCTGACCCCACAATAAGTTGCAAATTTTAGTTATGTAACTTAATTGGAGAGTTACTCAGAAGGGAAAGTGACATTTAAACAGGGTAAGTCAATAAAGAAGATATGTTTTAGATGGAATTTGAAGAAAAGTGAGAATCTAGGGCTCTGTCCTGCAAGCCATATGTGCTGGATGTACTCAGTTGAAATGAAATGAAATTAATATCTCTGTGCACTGAGGATATCTGTGAAACAGGAAAACGTGGGAAAGCTAATCATGATGGTAAAGGGACCCAGAGAAGGCACATATGGGAACAGCAATAGATATTGTTAGTGCAGGCCAAATAGGAAGAAGTGTGTTGCAAAATACGATATTGAAGAAAGAATATGACCTCTTATATCTGTGACTCAGAACCGTCTGTTTCGATCTGAATTTTATTTATCATTCCAAAATAACTCAGCACAGAAGATACTTGGCATCTAGAAATCCTTTTCAAAAACTGCACTCCTGTGTCTTCTGGTTACCCCTTGTCAGATAAAGGCTTGACATTGTATATAAAGCATTTCTCTGTGAAAAGAGAAAGTTGAACAATTCCCCAAAATTTTAGCTTTGTTGGTATCTCCTGCATGGGATTTTATGTACTGTTGATTAGTTTTTGTGCTGTTTTGCTTTCTATTTCCTACTGTAGCCAGAATAGAAAATGGGGGAAAAAGGATGGAGTTTATTTTGGGTCATCTCAGAATCCACTTTGTTAATCAAAAATCTTTGAGCTTGATCCAGGTCCAGGAATGGTTTTGGTTGACCACAAGCCATGTTATTTGATTAATAAACTATTTGCTAAAGAGAATTTGATTTAGCTGTAACTGGGAGTCTACTAGAGAAACAGTGTCTGCTATTTAAATTCAACTCTGGACTTGATGAGGATGTGGAAGGTAGACTAAGCTTGTCTCATATGGTACCACATGCCTCTGTGCTGTAGTTGATGGCAGCTGGTCTTCAGTCCTCAGCTTTGTGTTGTAATGAAGGAGACAGGAGTAACTTTGCTCATGTTGTTTGCTGTTGCTGGTGGGATGTCAGTGCTGATACAGAAACAACAGAAGAAGGAGGAACAAGAAAAACCACAGTTTTCAGGGGGGAATTCAGTTGATTCTGCTAAAGTTAAAAGCCTGGTTTTTCTCCACTTTCCTGTTAACAGTTATTTAAATGACAGAATTCAATGAAATTGTACAGAGTAGTGACTTTGTGGCAATTTACTGTTTCTTAACAGAATGACATATATTGCCCTTTGACCTGCTCTTAACAGAGGATCTGTTGGTGATAAAACAGTTTTTGGAATTAAAATATTTATTCATGTTGTAGAGCATGAAACTAGTCTGCACTCTTTTCATGTCCTCTCAGGGATACTTCTACCTACATTTCCTAGGATCAGGTTGATGATAGAGGCACTTGGCTAAAATTCTGTCCCGTTGACTTCAGAGTGGGGAGATTAAGCACATGCTCTCAGTGTGGAATCTGTTATGAAGATACCAACACTTTGGAACATTGCTGCTTGACTTGGAGTCTTTGTGTATTTAGTTTCCATCACAATTCATAATAGGCAGAGAAGGATTTAATCCTTCTTTTCCTACTGCTTTTTTGCACACTCTGGATACTCTTGTTCTTTGCCATGGCTCATCCTTGACCTGCCCATGGCTGGTGGGTGTGATTGCAGTACCTTGCTTGTCCTTCCCTGTCCTTCCTTATTTTCTGTGAATGTTTTCTCCTTTCCCCTTGCCTCATTGTTTCTGATTCTTTTAATTGTCCTGATTTGTTTAAAACTTGTCTGCCCAAATTTCTAGACAATTATAAGGGCATGTTTTCAAAAAGGAAGTCAGACTAGAACATCAAAGTAGGTTCTTTCTGCTTATGAAACCTATACCTCTAATTAACAAACTCCAAATTGGTACTAATGACCAGAGTTAATTTAAGCTTATGAAAACTAAGACCCATCTTCATCACCCACTCAGAACTCACAATGTCTCTTTAGTCTCCAGGAGACGCCAGGGAAACAGATGATTTCAGTGTAACTGAGATTCTAGTAACAGTACACAGCAAGAATATTGCTAGATCAAGGACCCTTTCCCTAAGAGGTTGTGCCACAGGCCCCTATCAGTTCGGTTCTGTTGGCTTGTGTGTTTCAGCTTCTGTAGTAATACGTGAGGAAAAGACAGTGAGAACCAAAAGCCCAAGAGACATTTTAATTACTTAAAGCCATTGAACAGGTGTATATTTGGAAACAAATATAGGCTGTGTACCGTGCTCCCTGTAGGGAACACTGCAAAGTACATTGCTGCCTGTGGAACTGGCTGAACATAGTGTGATTTTTTTCAGGCTTATACCTAGCAAAGTGTGTTCCATTGATTCAGTCTCATTTGACAAGTTAAGGGATACTTCTGTGGAATCCAGGTCCAGATCAATAAGGGTGTACCTGCAAAAGAATTTGAAGTATTGTGGATGCTGTTGCATGCTATTCAGTATCCTGTTGAAGCTGAGTATCCAATTTACCTCAATCTCCACCTTCTAAACCAAGTAGCAAAATGGGAAGCATTTCTTTTGTTGTAAATACTAATGACATCTTTGTTTCATGTCTTTGCTTTCCTAAATGCACCAATATTTCTTAATTGTTCGTGTCCTGTAAGTTTGGGCCTAGTTCTGGGGAGGAATACAACCCTTGCTAATGCCCAAAGCAGCTCAGATTTGTTTCTGTCTTTTTTTTTTTTTTTTTTTTTTTTTTTTCTCTTCCAGGAGATGGTTACAGAGTTGTGTTCAGGCCCTTGCATAGCAATGGAGATTATACAACCCGAGCCTCCAAAAGTGTTCAGAGACTTCTGTGGTCCTTCTGACCCTGTAAGTACTTGCTGAGTGATAAGAAATGCTTAAAAAGTTGATGTGCTGTCTATGTGAATTAAAATATCGCAGTGTGGTATGGCTGCCACATACCTGCTGCATCCCTTGGAAACATGTAAGTATTACCTTATGGAGGTCAAATGCTAGTTTTAGTGGACCAATTTGCAACTCCTCTAGCAACTCTTCTGATCTTACCTAAACCAGATGATAAAATACTGTGGTGATATTTGTGTGAAAGGAAAGCTATCGAGCCAAAATCTGTGTTAAAGATTCATAAATATTCTAACACAAGGCTTCAGAGCCCTGGAACAAATAGTTATTGCTTGTGCATGCAAGTGTAAATCAAATGTTAGTCCACTGCAGTCTGTTATTCTCCTAGGATGAAACTGTAAAAGGAGAATTGGTTCCTTTGTTTTTTTAGAAGGAAGCAAACCAAAAAAGGGTGTAAAAGTTCTTGTGCGTGTTTGCTATGCTAATGCTTCTAGCTTTTATTTTTCATTTCTTGAGTTGAGTAATTGGATACGTGTGATACCTTGCGCAATTTGGAGACAAGCATAAGTGCTGTCTCAAAAGTTCGCATTCTTTTGTTAAACAGTGAAAGCTGCTATACCACACAGGAGCCATGAGGTGAAATATCAAGATGGAGGGAATGAGGTCAGGGTTTGTATGGTTTTTTTTGGTTGTGATTTGATGTTTTAGTTTTAGTTTTAGTCAGACTGAGTGGGTTTACCAGTTCCTATGGAAAAAATTCACACAGATCAATATTTGAAGGGGAGATCAAGTTGTTGAGGATATATTTTTCTTCAGATCCAGAGTTTCCATTACAGAAAGCACAAGTTAAAGGCATTATCCAAACCTTTTTGTCCCCTTCTGTTTGGTAACATTCAAATGTTTCTCTGATGGGTTAGCATCTTGGTACACAATATGGTGGTTTCAGTTTTGTTTCAAATTCCATGTTTAAGGTTTCTGGTCTTTAAAACTTTCAAAGATGCAGTTGTTTTATTTGGGCCTATTATATCCTTTTCATGTTTCTGCTCGTTTAATGCCTGATATGCTAAAATCAAAATATGCTTGCAAACATCACAGCTGCTTTAGGTTATTAAAGACAAGTGTACCTATACAAGCGGAATTTCTCCATTTTCCCTTACGACATCACATGAAAAGCTCTGTCATAGCCATACAACATGTGTGTGACCGAAGGACCTGTTGATGAGCTGCGGAACTGAGGGATGTATAAACTGACGGCTTCTCTGGGTAGCACAAGAAAACAGCAAAGGAGGGAACTAAATTCCTGTCTCTCAGATCTCTTGCTAGTGACCTACCTATGCTGTTTGTGTTTCCCTTTTAATGGTTAACTGTGTGACTTGTGAAGTGAAAATAAGTACCTGCCTGCTTCTAGTGGAAGCAGGCAGCTGTATGTTTTGGACGCTGACTTCATAGCAGTTACACTAGTGGTATGTTTGGAAGACAGGCAGCTGTGTTATATATTTCTGTCTACTGTTTTCTGTAAGAATTGCAAATTAATTGATTCTTCAGGCACATAAATCATTCGTACAGTAATTACAGCTGCTCTCAAGAGTGATCTTTGCCTGAAATTTATCTGTCTCTTCAGATAGCATTTGTAGCTTGTCCTTGAGGAAGAAGGGACTAAGGTATCTCCATGGTCTTTTGTCATTCCCAACTGGAATCGTCAGAGAAGCTCACAACTGAACTTTGTGGTTACAATATGTATCTCAAATAGGGGTAGCAGAAACCTTAACAGCGGTTTCATTATCTAGCAAGGTTATGTACAGACCATGAAGATACCATGGACTTGGTATTTTAGTGGTTAAAGTGAATCTAAGTGTTGTGCAAATAGTTCATTATCATTGAGAGATCTGGATCTCTCTGTAACTTGTTTGTTTATTTATATATGCTGGATCCTGATGTGTGTACAGCTTGTTTATAAACATAGGTGAAGAGCCAGTTTACTACAAAATGTGCCTGATTGGGTCACTTTGGCTCTTGTTAAATAGTACCCTATTTGGCAAGTAGTGCCATTGAAACACCTGTGATTATTCTTAAAGCAAGGTGCTGTTTGACATGAGTAAAGGTGTTGGAATTTGACTTATAATGACTCTCTCCCAATCATGTCTGCTGTTAGTTATACCTTAGATATATAGCAAATGCAATAATTACTTTGTGGCAAGTCAGATATCTAAACTGGGTATGAATGTTAACAGCCCTTTCAGTCTGTTCTTGGTTTTGCAGGGAGGCAGTTGGGGTGCACTTCAGTAAAAGACGTCCAAAAAGAGGTGATACAAATTTTCCCAAATCAAAGCAAGATGTCATTTGGAAATAGGTCTGGTTTTGTCCAAGTCCTATGATCTTTAGGGCTGAAGAAAGAATTAGAGTTGTTCCATTTTGAGGATTATACTTTAATAAGCTAGCAATTTATACCAAGTGTACAATGCTAAAAATGAAATGGAACTTTGTGCTATTTTCTGTAACTGGGTAATATTTTGTTAGCACTGCAGGTCAGTAAAGCTCTCTGCCAAAAATATCCTTCATTATAAACCAGCTTATAAATACTTTATTAAAACCTCTCATGTGGTAGTAGGGAAGACTACTAACCAAAAACCTGTTTTGAGCCTCTTTGCAGTAGTGTACAAACAGCCTATCAAATCTGTAAAGTGGGCAGTGGGATAAAGATACTTGTCTGTAAGGAGCTGTGCTGGACATGCTCACTCTCAAAATTCCTGTGACCTGGTTGAAGGGCTCAGTGTCAGAGGTTGCAGGCTTGCAGAACATTTGTCCCCAGTGGATAGTATATGCGCTAGGAGAAATGCTTTCCTGCAGGTCTTGCTGCTGCTTGCATTCTTGTTGTACACTGGCACTTTTCTAGTGAATGGCTGGCTGGGTCATTGCACTCTTGATGAACTGTCAGCGTTTTTAATTACACTCGGCTTAAGCTCCTGGACTGTAGCTGGGTTTTTTTGTGTCACTGATGGTCTCATCTGAGGCCTTTCTGTAATCTTTCAGATCAGCCGTGATGCTTGTTTTTCTTGTCTTCCAATTGCAGCCTCTAGTTTAGCTGTTCCTCACAGCCAGGTCCCAGACTACTCGTGTGACTTGCTCTTGGTGTCGCTCTGTGCCTCGTTCTCTCTGTCCTGGAATGCCTCTGTGCTAACATGTAGGGCTTAGAAACTGAAAGCTCTCTCCACATCTGATATGATAAACAGGTATTTATGCTTTACTTATTGTTGCAGCACTCCTATAAAAGACCAGCAGGCCATTCTGATGCCCATCTTGAAAATACTGTTTCTTTACAATGTTAATAAGGACTGTTTAAAAAAAAAATCTCTGAATTCCACACGAGACTGTAGCTTTTCAGGGAGGGGAAGCACCCACAGCCTCTGCTATGCGCCCAAAGCTAGGAAGTTTGAGATATTGAGATCCTATGAGCAGCTGAGCACTCTTACTTGGATATTTAGATTTCAGATAGGAGTGGGATTTCTGAAATGACTTTGAGTTCCACTGATTTTCTATGGTGTGTCTGAATCATTTAAGCCCTTTTTCCAAATAGACTATCAAATCTTGTTATGCAGGTTGTTAAATTACAGGGTTTTTTTTGTGCTGGGTGCTATTTCACCCTGTTTCTACTGGTGCAGCTCTGACATCAAGAGAAAAAAAAAAATTACACCTATGGCAAAGAGGTAACTGCTCTAGAAAGCTAGGAAAAGGAGTTAAAAAGATAATTAATTCAGATTAATACAGAACACAAACCTCTTGAATTTTTTATACACACTATCACTTAGAAATAAGAGGTGCTGACTGCAACCAAAGTTCAACAGAAAAGAAGCTATGTTTCTTCTTCATTGTAAAGAAATGGAAATGCTTGGAGGGGTAGGGGTAAATGCAGCACACTGTGTGCTATCAAGAAAGCTGTTTTGTTTAAGCATGGTAAGAAAAAAAACCCTGCAAACTGTTCTGCATTGATTTGAAATTGTTTCACATGGATCAGGAAGCAAAGGCTATCATGGAAAACCTCAGCTTTGGAACGGGGGGATGGTGGCCAGGGAATCCCATCACTGCTTCAGCTTGCTGGCATGGATGTTTCATTTGATTGGTGTTTGTGTATTTTTGGCCTCTGGAGCACGTGGAGGCCTTTTGCTATTACTTAGGTCCGAAGCTACAGCTTCAGTTTTCACATCTTCTTCATGCAGCTTCTATGTTGAAATAACTGCTGGTAATGTTTTGTCATGGGATGTTTGAGGTGACTACTTAGTATTCGTAAGACACTTGTAAAATGCTGTAGAAATTAGATATATTGCTTTTATTTTTTTATTTTTACCTTTCTTTCTAACTTTCTTCATACACAAATGAAAAAGTTGGTTATAATATGTGATTCCAGGAGTCTACATCAGCTACATGTTCCTGGCTGATTGCATAAGTTTTAGTAGTCTTAAGAGCTTTTAGTTAGGATTGGCAGTATGCTAAAAGTGACTCAAGTGCCTTCTGCTCTGAGATATTATTAAAGTGATGGGACGTCCTTCAATATTTCTGCATCCAGTGTGCTGAAAAGGGATTTTTGTATACTTGCTTTAGATCCTAACCTACATTCTTTTTACATTGGGGATTTGCCATTTTAAGGGTAACAGTGTATTAACAGTCTTCGGTACTTCTGCATCAACGCCAAAGAGCTAAAAGAGAGATTAGATGGTTTAAAACAAAGTGGTGAACTGAAAGAGCTGGAGTCTGCTTTAGCTCCATTCCTGACCTCACTGTGTGACCTTGGACAAAAAGTTCAATATGTTTCTGCCTCAGTTATCACATCAGTTAAATGGGGGTAACGGTATGAGCCAAAGAGCACTTGCTGTAAGATTTTTGTTTGTATAGACCTTCTCTGAATCTCTAGCACTGAAAAATATCTACATGTGAAGGCCAAAAATGTTCATGTTCATTCCTAGAACTACATTAGCAGCACAACATTTTCGTGTTACATCACATAAAAAATAGTT